TTTCTATCTGAGGGTAATTCACCGTAGCAAATAAAACTGACCTATACCAATTTATCTGGCATCGCATAGCATCTATAAGTTTATCCAATCTTTCTACTTGGGGTCATTGTCCTTAGTAAAGAGACTGGCCTTTCCCAATCTACTCAGCATTGCGCAATAAACATAACCTAGCTCAACATTATTACCTGGAGATCATTGCCTCTGAAGTACAAAACAAACCCAACCCAACCTAAGACAACTCAATCTAACCCAACCCAACCAAACCCCTAACATTTCTAGCTGGAGGTCATTGACCTCAGTAAACAAACCTGACCTTCCTCAATCTGCCCGGCATTGTGGAATGTCCATAACCTGGTCCAACATCATTACCTGCATAACCCTGGCAAACATGACCTGATCTAATATTTTGACCAGGAGATCTTAGTAAACTGAAGATAGCCTTAGTATACAAAACTGACCTCTCCTATCATGTTTGGAATTGCGCAACATCCATAACCTTACCCAAAATTCTTTATCTGCTGGATATCGTCTTTCACCTGGTTCTTTCCAAGCTGTATGTTTTCACCTAATCTGCAAATCCAAATATCGTCATTGCCAACATTATAGGCCTTGCATATTGACTACTGGTCCCTAGAACTACTCCTAGTCCCTAGTTATTCCCGTAGCACATCCTTCCTAGCAGGATCACCAGATAATTAGAGTTTTCAATAAATGTTTGGAATCGCAGTAAGCAACGCAGAATTTTAATTTATATATTAATGGATTTGAAATAATATTTATCGTGAATATTAATGATACATTGTTTATTAATAACAGTCTTTATATAATCTGAGCAATGAAGTGAGAAGATCTCTTTGGGTAGGTCCGAATGGAAAAGTAAAACTCTTGATGCTGGTGGGGTTTTGTATTTTTCACCATATTCTTCGACGCCAATCTACCGGTCCTCTAACGACGAACGGTTAAATTGCATAATGATACGGGGCGCGCTCTGCCCATTTAGATGGTTTGCAAGATACCGGTTTTAATCTAAATAATCACGTCCGATGCGGCGCGCGCGCGCGCGAGCTGCCTTCCTGGCCACTAAAGAACTCGCCGCAAACGGCGAAGACCCGCCACGCCCCGACTCCCGGACACTTTACAAAGGCGGAAGTCCACCAGCCGTCATTAAATCGGCCCTTATTAGCTGCCGGCGGTTTATGGCGTCTAAACATCGTCATTTCTGGCGATAAAACGTTTTAGAAAAAAAAAGTTTGGCAAATTTTTCCTAAAATAATTTCTTTCAATTACCGTGGAGTGTATCTGTGAGTTGTGGTTGAGTTATATCTGAACTGCGCCCGGTTGGGTTCGTAATGCAGGGTGTGGTGTCTGCTGCCCACCGAGCAGCGCCTTGCCAACCTTACGTACGGTTTATTAGAGCCATACGTTGACCATTGGTCGCCGATCTAAGTGTCCTGCTACATTGCCCCGAAGGTCTGGTCCGATCTCTGGTCTTGCTTTGTTTTCTTGCTTCTACGACGCCTTTCTATTTTCTATCAACTTTATTTGCATATTTATCAACCTATGTATCGTATTTGGAGCGTATAAAGCTACATCCCTATCTAAGTTATCAAAAAAAAATGTTATTTATTAAAACCGTTTCGATATTTTAGATATAAACAAGTAAATTAAGTAACCACAAATAACATAAGACTTCAGAAATTGTCGGAAGTTGTCTTATAAACACAACTTTTTCATCCGCTTAGCCTTCGACAAGTGAAAGTAGTACTTCAACGTATAATTGCGTGCAAAATCAACCCACAAAATTGTAAATTACTGTTCAATACAAGAAGACGAAAAAAAAGAATAACTAAGAATATGATTCGTATTCAAAAGACATACAAAAAGATAGCGGTTGGATTTCTATCCGACCGCTAGATATGCAGATATCCAACTCTCGTCTCGCAACTGAGACCCGGCAAAACGGTCCCCGCAATTATTTTCAGGATGTTTGCAATCGTTTCTGCGAGAGGCGCACGTACACGGCTAATTTTCAACTTTCCACAACGATTTGCGACGGTCTGCGTTACGGTTTCGCAACCTGGACGTACTCTAATAATTGTATCCCGCGGTGGAAGAAACACCACATCCTCCTCATCGATAAATCACCGAAATTCCTGTTCAACTAGAAACAGCTCACTTTAAAATCACCATGATACATCTCTTTTTCAGCTAATTTTCAAGTTTCCTGCAGAAGACGATTGATGAGGAGGATCATCAATAAATCACCGGGGCGCGTTTACAGTAGCCGTTGTGTGTACTTAATCTGGTTGATTTTAATGGGCCCACTTCTCAACGGTACCATAAAATTTGAATTACCCGCTGTCTTTACTGCCGCCGTTTTATCCCCACATTGGCTTTTTAAGGTCCCTCAACGGGTGCCCCGGTTCCCCTGCTGGTAGCAATCAACCCGAGTACAACTAGTTTAGGGTCTCCTGCTGTACCGCCTCAAGTCGTAAAATTTCGAAATGACAATTATGCCTCGCTAACATCCGAACCATCCGTCGATGGCCCATTGTGCGTCCGCACAGACGTGATTTACCAGCCGGATCACGTCTTTCATTCGATCGAATAAGAATTCCTTCGATGGAGGTACTCTTCGGCTACTCAAAAAGAATTCTTCGTTTGTTTGACGTATCGCTTTCTAATTATACTAATTTCGAACGTCGGGATAATTAGATTACTGGACTTTGTTAATTAAACCTAGCGATTGCGTCTTTGTTAATCAGCCGCTTTTGATGACTTCTTCATCCATCATTACTACAAAGTGTTGGTGGTGGTACCGGGTGATTTCGTTTCTTTAAAAAGAAGTCGATCTAACATAACCGCAGCAATCGGTTAGTATGCAATATCAAATGCCGGAGTGATTATACCGGAAGCCGGCCTCTGGTAAATCGTGAGAAACGCCAAAGTTTAGCCACTAATAGTGGGCGTGGACGCGCTTATTAAGTACCGCCAAGTCGAGTGGCTTCCTCAAGTGTCCCGGTAGATTCTTTGGTGCAACCGTTACGTACTACACAACCGGCGCTTCGGATGACGCGTAATTAACTCTTTCGAATGATCTCCAAGGATCCACCGAAGTCTTCGACTTCGTTAATGATCCTCGGACATGCGATATGTAAATACTACGCTTAAGGTGTTTACTTTTACAACGACGGTGTTCCCTTTTCTCTTACGAAATCACCACAATTTTTATTTTTTTTCTTAAATGTATCAATTTTCCACTTTTTATTAACACACGTAACATTATATTAATAAACAATTTAATTTTAAGCAGATCTAAAAAGAAGCCAAACGATTAAACGATATGGGTGGCGAAATAGTTAAAATTTTCCAGATTTTTACGGCCCATCACGTTAATTAGAAGCTTCAAAAACGACGCATCTGTTCGGACGAAATCGGAGATGACCCACCATGGCTTCTTACTTAACCTAATCGTTTCGATTTTCCTCGGTAATGATTAAGTTAAGTCAAAATTAGTGACAAATTACCACGAAATCGACCTCCTACGACGCCGATATCATTTCGAAAATGAAAGGAAAACTTCTCGTTAAGACAATGAGGTTTTTTTTTGCTTAAAAGAATAAAAAAGAAAATCTAACGTTTTTCCATAAAAGGATCTTCTGGGAAAGAAGATCGCTTTGTCACGGCTTCAATAATGACTACACCGGCTAATTGTGAGGCGTATTAATGGCGCACTTTGCCTTAAAACGTTTCGTGGGCGTAACAATGCTCTCTTCTGTGCGGGCACGAGGCACGGGATGGGTTAAAATTGAGTTGTTTGACTTAAACCGCCCACGCGGGGTACCTAAACGAGAGGCAGAAGCGATTTGTCTTTCCGTTAAAATTACTAAAACGGTTTCTAAGTTTAATTTATTTTTAACGCAATAAAAATTAAAATAAATGAGTTACAAGAACATATCATCTTGGATTCAAGAAATATCACAGTGTATAACAAGTAGAGTTTGGGCCGAGCACACTACCTTGTGGCACTCCAGCCTGGATCTTTCTTAATCTTTCTTTATTCTAAAATATCTTCCTGTAAGATATAATTTCATCAATTGAGAGAGTTGTTGTGGCAAGATTTTATTCAATTTATGAAGTAAGCTTTTGTGCCAGACTTTATCAAAAGCCTGTGCTACATTTAGGAATATTACAGAGCACACTTCCTTTCCCTCTAAAGACTTTTCAATAATATTTGCAATCCTGTGTATCTGGTCTATTATAGAGTGGCTTTTTCTTAGTTTGCAGATGACACAGCTATCATAGCAATAGAAAAAATCATGAAGATGGTGCCAAAAAACTTGGCGTATCAAATTGAATGAAAACAAGTCTGTACATGTAGACTTATAATGTTTAAGTTGTTTTTGATTCCAATCACATGAACAGTTCTCTAGATATGATTTTTAATACTTACTAAAGAAGACCATTCCTTTGAAGGTGAGGTTTCCAGATTAATTTCGTAAAATGAAGATTCCTGATCAAATCAACCAAAAACAGCTACAAGGTTCACTTTAAAATCAGCATGAATTGGAACTATGAACATGAAGGAAAGGAAATTAAGCGTCTTAATGATTTAGATCACATTAAACATTAATAATTACCGTTTTAGAATCAATTTTTTATTTAAAATTTACATATAAAAGAACTTTAAAATTATCTCACACCAAACTAGAATACGTAATGACAGTTAACTATTTGGTAGAATTGTTTTTTGGTAGATTTAGAAAAATAATTTTTTTAATGAATTATTTAAAAAATCACATTGAAATTTAAATTATTGTTAAATAATTAATTTGTTTAATACAAAATTAAAATAAAAATTGTTTTTAATAATAAAAATTTAATAAAATACTTATTGTAGACATTGTCTATCAAATGCATATTCTAGTATTAACCACAATTGACGTGATACAATACAAACAAATATAAAACAAAACATAACCTATAAATGAAACGAAAAATTGTTATTAAAATCGATTTTATTATTAATAAAACAGATCAGTCTTGAATTACCAAATAGGAATGTTAATGTATGTATTATAAACCTATCTTTTTATTATTTAATTGTTAAGTTATTATTATTATTAAGTTTTCCATTTAATTAATTCAAGTACCCACTTTTGCGTTTTAGAATTATCACAATCCAATAATATTAACCCATCGTGTTCGTTATTTTTCGGCAAAGACAAACATTTTTGATTCGTTACATGTATAATTTCGTTCGTTGTATTATTAAAGCTCCATTTTTGCCTCGTACCAAAAGAACAAGCTAAAATCCGTACTTTTAATATACCATTAATTTGTTTTTCAGGCGCATCTAAACAAATTGAATCATCCGTCATTAAAAATCCATCCTTAATAATAAACATTTCCTCGGCACGATCTTCGTTTGGGGAACAATTATCCAACTTAGCAATCCCCATCGGTTGATTACTTGTTACTTTTGGGATTGGTTTTACGAGGCATTTACTCGAAGCTAAGTTTTTAATTCGTCCAAAGAATTGGTTCTTTTTCGGGAAGAAATTTTGGGGCCAAATGTTGTCTAAATACCATTGGAAACTTTTACATTTCAATCGTTGTTTTAGTTGGAGTCTTTCTGAGACGTCAAGGGTGTGTTTAAGCTTCTCGGCTTGTTTATTAAATTTAAAATATAAATCGGCGTAATCATCCATCCAAACTAAAGCTACTCGGGCTAAGTTAGAGTATAAAGTGTTTGAGATTCCTTCAGGGAAAGTGTAGGGAGATGATTTTCGAAATAAATGCCCCACATGTGAACACGGAACGATTTCGATTGTTCCCCCACATTGCCAAATTCGAAACGACATCTCCAAATTTTCACCTCCCCATATTTTCGTTTGGTTATCGTAAGATCCGATTTCGTAGAAATATTCTTTATCAATAGCAAATAACCCCCCTGCCATCGTTGGAGTATTAAAAGGAGAAGTACTATCTTTTTTTCGTTTTAGCAATTCTTTTCCGGCTAAAGTGAACCATCGAAACTGCAAATTCCAATTAAACCCACCCCAATGGAGTTCGAAACTTTTTATATACGCAAAAGTATCGTCGTGGATTATATCAATAACGGGGCAAACAACGGTTTGATTATTTTCAGCTAACCTCCCCAATAAAGGTTCAAGCCATCCTTCTGTACATTCACAATGAGCGTCCAAAAAAGTTAAAACTTTCCCCGTGGCGATTTGAGCACCTTTTAATCGGGCGGAAACCAACCCGATCCTTTCGACACTTCGAATAATCGTTACTCGAACCGGAAGTGTTAAAATGTATTCGTCTAAAGGTTCTTTTAAAAATTTTCTATCGCTCGCATCATCAACTAGAACGATTTCTTCTAATAACATTCGTGGGGATCGATTTATAACACTCCAAACGGTACGGAGGAGCGTCGACCACGCTTCGTTATGAAACACGATGATTACACTCGTTTTTGGGTAGTTGGAATGTTCTTTATGAAGATTTCTACATCTAGAAATTAAAATTAATTGAAATATATTTATTTGTATACAAATATTTTGTTTATTAACATATTTGTTATCAGTATAGATTAAGCAGATACAGCTGGAAGCCTGCCAAAGATTGTCCAAAACCTGCTTTGTTAGAACTAAGAATTCCAAAACTTGATTTCCAATCCACTTGGGTTGGGTTGAGTCGGGTTGGATTGCCTGGATAAGCGGCATACAGAGAAAATTGACTCTAGGAGGATAAAAGAGGGCAGAAATTGTAGAATTATCGGATTCCAGAGAAATTCTAAGTGGCAAAAATGATCTTTTATCAGTGTTTGCTACTATAGATGATCAGAAATACGAGACAGATCAATGTTTTTATTCAGCCACTTTTAAAGAGTACTTACAACACGCACCAGATGTACTCTGGTGCCACTGCACTATGACGCTTCCTTTGTGTGGCTTTCTAAGTAGCTTAAAATAGCTAAGATAAATGGCATCCAACCTCAAGGAGAAAAATTGGTGGACCTCCAAGTAGTTCAGGTATACAAGGAGAAGATCAATCGTATTTCAGGAGTAGAAGGTCTAAGATCATCAGGATATCCTGAAGTAAATGGAAATGGACGTTAAAATGGTGAAAGTCTAGGATCTCTAGAATTAGATGATAACAGAGGTCAAACTCTAAGTAGTGCATGATTTCGTATTAGTTTAGGATCTTTTGGGAATGATGTTCTGCAGATAATCCAGGATCATCCGGATCGCCCAAACTAGGTGGAGAGAGAATCAAGACCTCTTGGATTAGAGGGTTCAAAATGTCCTATACTTGTAATGTTTGAAAGAAACATTTTTGTATACTGTTGTAAAGGAATGTCCTCTAAGAGAATTGGCAAAGTCTTTACTGATACAGGTTGTGTCCTTGAAGACATTTATGAAGAAGGGATTTTTCAACAACTTACAAAAACTGTTCTTCTTATTGCCATATAAGTTTTTGAGGTCTCTAGGCTTACATAGTGCATTTTGGTACATCATTTTGGAATTTCCACATTTTTCCCCAGTTTCTGCAGAATCTTCGTATACTTATCCACATTATAGATAATAATTTTTAGCCAAGATGTGGTTGATGGTTACCTCAACTTCTAGCTTTACGACAATTTTATCTCCTAGACTTCGTGTCCAAGTTTTTCACTATGTTATTCTTTAAGCCTAAAATATTTGCTACCATTTTATTACCATTTTTCCATCCAATACTTCTTTATATGCTAAGGGTAAGAGATACCTATAATATGGTTTTATATAACCCGTTACTTTTTGTTGCAGATTTTACGCCTAAAAGTACGGACAAGTCTTTTTTTGCTAACCATGGAGTGAAAACTTGAAAAGTTGCATCATCATCAGTCATTGAAGGTAACTTAAACAAATCCTAAGTATCTAAATGCGACTGGATTGCGGGGTTATCTCAAAGAACGCGTGTATAAACAAGATCTCTGTTTCTAGATATACCAAGGCTACGAAAAGTTTATTCAAAACCAGTTATATAAACTTGGGATAGTGTCAATTGAACTAAGGCTGAGATACACCGTGTAGGAGAGGGTTAATCTTCAACAAGGTAAGTGGTTAATCATATTTAAACTTTCCGCGATATTAATTAACTAAATAGATTAAAGTTAAAGTTGATTTACTTTTTTCTTCTAACATCCTGAAGACTCCTATTTAACGGGATCATATCGCTCGCCATCAAATTAAACCGATTGATTTGAAAGAGTTGTTGCATTTTTAAAAGATCTTTCGGTTGTATCGCGACGGGTTTTCCATCCTTTCCCGCGTCGATTCTCGGACGGAAATCGTTGGAATTTAGCATTTCATCGGTCGCGTTCGGAATTTTCGAATGTCCCACGTAATATCCTACGATCACTTTCATTCCTTTATTGTCGTACTCGTTTGGATCCCTAAAATGTATTAATTACTTATTTATTAAATTTTTTTGGGGGATTTTTTAACCTTTTTTGCTGAACGTGCTCATTTTTTAAAATCATATGTTTTCTCCATAATACAATTAAAAAAAGCGAAATTGTTATGAAAAACGCCGGGTATAATCTTCTACAACGCCGAATTGGAACCGAGAACATAATTAGAGTTCCTAAAAAGAAATTTTTTGGGGTTTAATTTGGAACGTATCCTGTTTTGAGTTTGTAGGGAATTTTATTTGGTGATTTTTCTTTTGATTAAGAGATGGCGTTGTTATTTATTATTGTAGTGTCCTGTGGGGATTTAGTGAGTGGTTTGTTTATTATTTGATCTTAAAGGGGATAATTAAGTTTTTAATTGGTTTATATCGATGAAGGTGATAACTTACCTTGTTAAATTTGACTCCGAGGCAACTACATAACTAGGAATTTAACGCAAACTAAAAAAAATTGTGGACATCACGGACAAGGTCGCGACGTGCCAGCGGTTTCTCTTTCACTACCAAGAAGGATCTCAAGATGTCATTATAGGTGACCAAGTATACATGAGATCAAAAAAAATCGGTTTTTGAGTCGATTATTATAAAACTCTTTATTCACAATTTGTAATATAAATACATTAATCGATATAAGTTTTGTAATTATCAATTTTTCGCTTTATTTGTTTTTGTACAATACATACACAATGCTTATTTATTTAATTATTAATCGTGGAAGAAGTGATATGGATAAAAATGGCAGTTACTTTTTAATTAACGAATATTAAATTTTGGCAAATGGTTCATTTGGTCTAAAAACATCATCGATACATCTATAATAATATTAATAATAGTAATAATGATAACAAGATGAGTAAATATATATATACAAATAACCGATAGAAAGAGGGGTTAAAAAATCTTTTTTACCTATGTGTATATGTGGTTATAATACAAATATCACCGTCCGGATCGCTGTTTAATAAAAAAAGTTCTACCATCGTCAGTAGATTAAATAGAGACCTGTACAAGAACGGCGCATCCGGTGGGGTCGCTTTGACTAAGTTGAACACGACATGGTAAACATGAACATCAGGTAATTTCATTTATCTGTGTCGGTTTGAACGTACAAAAAAAATACGGCCGTCGAGATGAACGGAATAATAATGAACGTAATATGTACACGAGCGGTTAAATAAAAAATAATAAAAGGAAAAGTACAAAATAATAATAAGGGGAGTCAAATCGCACGAAATCAGAATAATAACCAAAATAAAAATCACAGAACGAACGAAAAATAATAAAAAAAAATATATTTGGGTAAAGATGAAGAAAATGGCAGCTTTATTCTTAGCTGGTTGACGAAAACTTGGCACGTGTCGGTTACCAAGGCACTGGTGGGAAGGCTTCTGCTGTAGAACCAGCACAATGGAATGGAATTATTATATTAATAATAATAGTAGTAATTAATAACGATAACGAGTAAATTAACACTAACACAGCCTGCGGTATGTTTTCTCAAAAATTTTAATATTAATTTTTTTCTGTTGAGGACCAAAAGCGTGGATCAAGGAACATCTTCTTTTTGACAGTTTTTCTTAATGTTATCACAATATACTGCCTGCCATTCTTGCTTTCGTGTCACTTAGGACTCCTGAAATATCGTAGCACGACGTAACCCAGTAGCCTAAATATGATTAGAAAGGCTAATAAAACCAAGCTGTTCGCCCAAAATGGAAGATGCGATCCCTGAGCCTCCAAAATGTCCCCGACGGGGATGAAACTTTGTGAATTTTTGTTACAGATTTCAAATTTTGATTGTTGTGCACACCTAAAATGAAAAATACAATATTAATATCTTTAAATTTAAGGAAAATAGATAAATAGTAATTATTGCTTATTACGCGTTAATTGATTTATTGATTATTAAAGGCAAATTAATCAAAACACAAGAAATTTTTCGTGGAAACTTGATATTCCGAGCTGGAGACGAAAAACATTTTTAATACTATTAAAAACCCAGATTACGTACAAAATTGGGAATGATCTATGTTAATGCTCTTGTTGAAGAACAAAAGTTCTGGGATATAATAGCTCATGCTTGCTAACAAGTTGGCAGTCTGTAACGAAACTTACAAGCTTTCAGATGTAGGAGCTCATGCTGCCAACAAGTTGGCAGGTTTTGCGATGTTGAATAGAAGTTCAGTGATATAATAGCTCATGCTGCCAACAAGTTGGCAGTCTATAAGGATAGTTACAAGCTTTCAGATGGAGGAGCTCATGCTGCCAACAAGTTGGCAGGCTCTACAATATAGAATAGAAGTTCTGAGATATACTAGATTATGCTGCCAACAAGTTGGCAGTCTATAAGAACAGTTACAAGCTTTCAGATGTAGGAGCCTCATGCTGCCAACAAGTTAGCAGGCTCTGCGATGTAGAATAGAAGTTCTGAGATATAATAGCTTATGCTGCCAACAAGTTGGCAGTCTACAAGGAAACTTACCAGCTTCTAGGTATAGGAACTCATGCTACCAACAAGTTGGCAGCCTATAAAAAACATTAGAAGCTTTCAAATGTAGTCGCTCATGCTGCCAACAAGGTGGGAGCCTGCGAGGTTACTTTAATGAGATGATACATACAAAAATCAACGTAATAGTTGCAAATCTTTAATCAAGCTCTCTAAACAAGGAGAACTTCAACTTCAAAATATAACGTGATTTAGAGGTCACTGCAATAATTACAATTTATCCTGTATATTCAAGAAAATGTGTAAGTTTGTTATGATTACACATAACCTTTACGTTGGTGATAAATCATTAATACTTACGTTATACTTCCCGTTTCTTCGCTAAATTCAATAATCTGCATATTTTGATAAGCATAATGTACCATGGATGTATACCTCATCCACGTTAACCAAGGCGGAACATTCGTGGCGAAATATCCTCCAAATAATTGCGTTGCCAAAGTATATAACGCGCTTATTGTTATACTGAGTTGCATATCCATACAAGCTGCTCCAATAAAAAATCCAACACTCTGCGCTACCAAAGTGTTCAATAATAAAAAAGTTAATTGTCCCAAATACGTTAAAACGGAGTGAAAGCCTAACATCGCGTATGAAATTAAATGGTAAACCGCTGGTAGAGTCATTGTTAGTGGCAATTCTCCTACCATTTTCGCTAGATAATAAGCCGATAATCTGTAAGCCCCGCTTTGCCGTTCTTTATTTATCACCTCCCTTTCGGGCGGGAATGAACTTAACGCTCCGAAATGCGCGAATAACATCCAATATGTCGTTGAGAAAAACATGTATCCTTGGATATCGTGAAGCGATTCTTCTCGTCGTTCTAATTGGAACCATAACAATCCGGCCATTATTCCCAATCCGATTGTTTGAACCCAATTTAATTTCGATAACATTCTCGGTCTTGCTTCTTGGAAATTTCTATGGGATAACACTTTAAATTGAGTCCAAAAACATGTCGGCCACGAGAAATAACAATCACTTTCCGTCGTCTCAGAACTAACCGAAGATGAAGCATGGGAGTGAGTATCTAACCATAATCTTCTGTTATCTGGGTCCGTATTGAGGTTATCTTGGTCTAAGTGAGGGTAAGGACCGTGAGTACTATCTCTTGAAGTGTCTTGAAGTTTTTCTGGGAGATAAAAATCGTGGAGGATGTCCGAGGAGAATTCTTTGCTGTTTCGATGATCTTTCGCGGCCAAAATGATTTTTTGTTGGAGATCTGGGCTACCTTTGATTTGTTCGACTGAAATTAATTAATATGAAGAAATGAATTAATTAATTTGATTACTTACGTATAAAATCAGCAGGGTTATAATGAGGTTTTATGTGTAATCCAATACCACCAAAGAAATCTACAACTTTAGAAACATCCCCGAAATAAGCCGTTTGTCCGTTACAAAGTAAAAGGAGTTTATCACATAAATGAAACGTTTGGGAGGAAGGTTGATGTAAAGTAACAACTACAGTTTTTCCTTCAGCCACAGCGTACTTTTTTAACGTTGAGATTAAACTATAAGCTGCGTAAGAATCAAGACCGGAAGTTGGTTCCTAAAATGTTTTTTTTTTTCTTTAAGTGTTTTAATGAAAAGTTTTGGGACTTACGTCTAATAACATTAATGATGGGTTCGTTAATAATTCGCAAGCGATGTTGGCCCGTTTCTTTTCACCACCGCTTAAACCCCGTTTTAAGCAATCCCCAATAATTGTATCTTGACAATGTCCAAGTTCTAAAACGTCTATAATGTGGTCGACGTATTGCATTTTTTGCGAGTGACTCATGGTGTCAGGTAGACGCAATCTCGCCGTGTACTCCAAAGTTTGACGAAGAGTCAAGTCGGGGAAAAAAATATCCTGTTGTAGAACGTAACAGATTTTTCTTTTCCACCGTTTACACAATAAATCTCGATTGAGAAAAATTTGCCCGTTATCCAGACGCAATCTTCCGCTGAGACAGTTTAAAAGGGTTGTTTTTCCACATCCAGAGGGACCCATCACGGCGAGAACTTCACCGGGGCGCACCAAACCATCGACATCTTGCAGTATTCTTCGATTTCCAACGCTCACCGTTAACCCTCGAAAGGCTAAATGAACCGGAAGCGGTCTTGAATCGGTTAGGAGGCAAGGAAAGTGGACCGTTGCTGTATCAACCCTAAAAGAAAAAAGAATTAATTTATAAAAAAAGTCTTAATTAAGAGAGACATACATTATTTGGCAAACGAAACGATGTTGTGTAATGAGATAAAGGAATGGCCAGTTTTAATAGGTTTACTATCATTTTATCAGGCACAATTTGTTTGTCACGCACCTTCCATATAATGATTCCTCCGTTTGCTTTGTTCGCGCGGACGTTGTACGCGCGTTATAAAATAATAAACGGACTGTTTATTAAGTTATGAGTATCAAAGACGATGATTAAGATGAGAATTTTTTTAATAATTATTTTGTTTTGTTTTCAACGAAGAAATAATCCAAGAAAATTAGGAAAATAATGTCTTGTAAGAATTCGTTGACCCGAGTTTTGTGGCATTGGGTCACTATGTCACGTTGAACGTTGGAAAAAGAAAGAAAAAATCCGACTGATTCTAAAGGAAATGATTATAAGGTGGTGAAATTTTGATACGAGATCGTCATAATCTCGAAATCATAAGTTGGCAGGCTCTACGATGTAGAACAGACATTCTGAGATATAATAGCTCATGCTGCCAATAAGTTGGCAGTCTATAACGAAACTTATTAACTAAAAGTACGAGCTCATGCTGCCAATAAGTTGGCAGGCTCTACGATGTAGAACAGAAGTTCTAAGATATAATAGCTCATGCCGCCAACAAGTTGGCAGGCTCTACGATGTCCAACAGAAGTTCTAAGATATAATAGCTCATGCTGCCAACAAGTTGGCAGTCTATAACGAAACTTAAAACCTTCCAGATGTAGGAGCTCATGCTGTCATCAAGTTGGCAGGCTCTACGATATAGAATAGAAACTCTAACATACAATAGCTCATGCTGCCAACAAGTTGGCAGTTTATAAGGAGAATTACAATCTTGCAGATGTAGTAGCTCATGCTGCCAACAAGTTGGCAGTCTATAAAGAAAGTTACAAGTTTCCACATGCACTAGCTCAAGTTGGCAGGCTTCAACGTAATCAAAATTCGAAATGAAACATGTTGCGCTTTAATAACAACTTTTGTTGTATCTACTAGCACCATCTATTAAGTTCTATTACTATTAAAGAACCTTTTTAGTAAAGAACAGTTTTTCTTTAATCTACCTCTCAAAGAAAAATAGAACTTCAACGTCGCAATATTACGTGATTTATTATTAAATTCCTAATAATTATTTTCTTTGTTTTGAACGAAGAGATAATCGAGCAAGAAAAAGAGGAATCTTGAAAGAGTTCATTGCCCCGAGTTTCGCGGCATTGGGTCACTGTGTCACGTTGAACGTTGGAAAAAAGAAAGAAAAAATCCGCCCGATTCGGGTTGGTACGGTTCGGTTTGAGATTGCAAGAGGACGGAAACGATTATAAAGTGGTGACAATATTGATACGGCATCGTCATAATCTCGAAGGTGGCGGCGTGAAGAGAACAAGTCCCACCGAGTCTATCGCGTGACACACTTCGAGGTCTCGCTCTCTTCGTGTTGTAGTGGAGATAACCGGGTATCTCGGTCGGAAAATAAAAATACTACGCCAACGAAGAGGTCATTGACCGAGAAGGTACATTATAAGTATATAGTATTTAAATTTTCATTGATTCTTAAACTATATAATATATAAAAGATGTCTTATAGTGAGTGGGTTAAATGGCGACGACACTGACATTGGTTCGAAAGTTGTAAACCGATCGATTGGAGAAAGTTGTGACTTGGTTGAACGAAGTCTTCGTCGTAGTGGTTTTTGTTGTTGGGGGCGTTGACATTTCTTGTTGTTGGGGTGAAAAAGCGCCGCCTCGCGGTATGTTATGTTTGGAAATCGCGATATACCTCGGTCGACGACCTCAAAGCAACGTAGTCGCCGAGTCGAGCGCTTATTTTGACTGAGACCCGCAAGCCCGATGGCGATATCTGCGCTGACCCAAATAGCACCGACTCGGGATATATGTACATTTCATATTTACCGTGTTGTTTCTATCAAAGATACACTTCAAACCGCCATTATGACAACTAAAATGAGTTAAATCGAATTAATTCGAGTGGAGCTTAAAAACCGATCGTTTTACAAGCAGTCAGACCACAACGGGGGCTTTGCAAATGTCACGGGTATCTCGAAACTTTCGCAGGGTTCATCGAACTCAAAGCCTACTTAAAGTCAGTCAGTAAGACGTTCTCAACCAAGAAAAGATGTCTACAAATTAATAATATCAAAAAAGATGTAGCAATATTAGAAGAGATAAATCAGTGACTCGTCACTAAATCGCCGCGTTGAATTGCATCCATGAGGTAATTGCTCCAAATTGCACCTCAAACGGAGTTCATAGACCGAACCCTTCTAGAAAGAACTTAACTAGATGCGTCTTTGTAGTCGTAAAGTACTTAATTTAACTCATAATCTTCCAACCCAACTATTCTATTGTTAAACCCCAACTTTCATAAATTTTCTTTCAAAGATTTTATTCATAAATTCGGCTCAACGACGAAAATTCGTAAACAAACCCGATATTTGTCAGGATTTATTCGTTAAACTCCTTAAAAATGGTGGTAAAATTATTAAACTAAGAGTTGCTTAACACTTCTGTTATAAGAAGAAGAAGTGAAAAAAGACGTCGGAGGTCGTGACCTCACGCACCGTCGGAGCGGCTGCGTGAGGAATGTGACCGTCGTTAGAGCTAACGACGGCCGAGAAACGAGTTTCGTGCTCTCTCCCGGACCCCGAAGAAACGAAGAGAGCCGCCGTCGACCGGAGGAGGAATGAAGAGCTAACGGAACGCGATGTCGTCGGACGGAAATTTCGGCAACGGAACCTCCACGACTCGAGCCGTTTGACCCACAGAGAGAAATGTGGAACGCGCGCGCTATCACCATCATCATCCTTTTTTTTCTTCCATTATTCATCGATTATTAAAAAAAGGGATAACTTTTTAAAACTTTCTCTCCTTCAGATCCAACCTGAAAGGATCGCGCACTGCTAGTTCAACGAACCCAGTGTTATTGTTTTCGCTTTAAAAAAAAACTAAAATTGGCTACTCGGTTTCCGTAACGAAGTTATCCAACCAAATTTCTCTCTAGTGATATGACCCTGAGTGGTAATTTTTGCCAGAAACTCGGGGCAACGTTCCTTTAATTGATCGCGCGGAAACATATGACGCCAGAATGGAGGAGAGTTTTTAGATCCAGTTATACTGGACTAAAAGAGAAAGTCTTTTCTTAGAAATATATCTATGTGCAACGTATACCAAGTTATACTAAATAATTATTATACTTTATCACAAAATAGAATCGTTTTGTTAATTTTTTGCTTGTTGGTGCGTGTCAAAATAGTTCTAATCAATTAAAAACTACCTTAGGATACTTAACGACGAAGAAATAATTTAAAAAAATGATTTTGACATTTTTTGAAAGATAACAGAAAATTGAAAATGTTGATTTTTGGGTGTCAAAATAGCTCAAATCGATTCTAAACCTTTTCAGACTATTTAACTAAAACGGACGATGCTTGATAACTTAATGGGGACACTTTCCAGAAAATTGAGAAACTTAAAGTACATTAAAATATGATTTTGAAGTTTTTTTGATTATGTTTGAAAGTATTAACTAGTTGTGCATTCTACCTACATTCTAACTAGTTTGTACACCTTCAGAGTCATAATGATAACCACAAACGCATCAATTAAAATTGTTATATAGGCTCCAGTCTGTCCAATTAAGATCTTAATCCCTTAATGCATCTGGCGTGCTTTAACTTCTAATGGTGTTTCCCCTGCGCACGCTAGCTCCACACTCCATCATCGATCATAATTGCTTAAAAACGACATTTGTAAAAGCATAAATAAAAAGTGGGATCAAAAGGGAGATGATTTCGACCGTGACCTTGGGGTTTTGGGTACAAGTTCATTATGAAGAAATTGCACAACGTTAATCTGTAAGGATGACTTCTATTTAGTTCTACGAAGATTTTTTTTATCGAAGGAACCAAAAATCCTAACTGACTGATGGAAGATTCAAAAGTATCTTTCCACAAGGAAAAAGACAACCCTTTAAATTTTTCTGTAAACTCTGTAATACTCTGCCTGGATTCCGGTAACTTAATCGCAGATTAGCCATATACCAGAAGTTGTGTATCCTAAAGCTTTCTCCCTACCCCTAAAATTAGAACTTCTTAGAACTGCGTCAATACTGTCAAATGTCCTACTTTGCTTCTGCAATACAGGTAACTTTGATATATTATGACCTTAACTAAGAGTTAAGGTTGGATTAACGTTAGGTTAAATGTTAATTAGTACTTAATTTTAGGACTAGATATTTTTCTTAAATTTTAATTAAAATATAATTCTAATTATAATTCTATTTCTGTAAATCTTTATTATCTGGTTCTTATAATTAATCATAAAATAGGAAGATCTTAACATTTAATGATACTTGTTTTTAGTTAATTTATATTCTTTTTGGGTTGTATTTAAATGACGACGCAACAGGTTGGATTATTTAACGATTTGCAGGAGTGGTTTTTATACGTAAAGCTAACGTAGTCGAAGACAGGCTTCTTCGTGGTCGAGATGCGATCGGTGTTAATAAAAGGACCGTCGAAAGTCGTAAAGCGCGGAATCCCGGACCAATAAAAATCTGCGACCAGTTGTCCGAGGAGTTTGCAGATCGAAAGGGGGCTCCCCTTTTGTCGCGCTGCGCTATCGGGGCCCCATTTGATTCCAAATGCGGTGCGGCCATTTTGAATCAATTGCGGCCCGCGGCCATTACAATGGGGCGCCGAGTTTGTTCACCTCTTCGGCCGGCGGCGGCGGCGCGACGCACGTCCTCTTGGGATAGGTCCGGAGATGGTACGTGACGGATTTGCATTTTCTCTCGGGGGCGACGCCCTTCTTAGTAATACTCGGAAACCACCGGCTGATGCAAACATCTTCAACTATATTTCGAATCGAGACTTTAAGAGAATTCGTGTCCCACATTTTCCCCTGATTTTCGGGCGTCGGTCAGCGACCTTCCGGAGCAATCGATAGCTCGCACGCCCGGAATAGCTCCACCAATAAAACAACGTTCACTACGTAATAATCTGAATAACCCAAAATTTTTTTTTCCTTTTTCTCTTGGGAGTTAAATTCTATTTTGTATTCAAAGTGGTTGGTCTTGATAAAGGCTGTCTCCTCGACATTTAGAGGTGACAAGAAAGGATTTTGTCCGAAAAGCGTTCCAAAAACCTAAAAAACCCGAGGTCTACCGCAAATCGCGCGTCCTGACCTTGCCCAACCTTGCCGAACGACTGGTGTATAAAATGTATTTTTAATTACAGACGCCTGTCTTTCTCGGAGTGCGCCTCCTCTCCCTCTTGGTCGACGCAGCATGAAAATAAACATCCTCTCTCGAATGGAAACGCTCATTCTTTTTTATATAGTATATTTTTTTACTGATGGGAAACTCTTCATCATGCGGAAGCTCGAGAGAAAAGAAACTTAACATGCATCGGTGTCACCGGACGCATTTCTACAGAAATACGTTGTTTAGTTTCAAGATTTCTATCTTTCTATAAAAATATTAGCCTCCTTTCTCTTACTGATCATAAAGTTAGTACCATGAAGTTTTAGGCAAGTACTTAGTAATTTAGGATTTCCAATAATGATGATAATAAGCATAACTTGACATTGTTATTTTGGAGTACAATTTGAGCTTGAAGGGGTCAAAGACCTAACGCCATCTAACCGCGGGATCGTCTACGAACGGCCTTGACACGAATTCCATGCCATTCTCTCGAATATGCGCTTTTTTCTTCGTGGTAGTAGAACGGTTCCACTTGCACCGGGAAATCTTTGGTTCCGCGATGATGAGTCGTCACAGCTTTTTTTTACTTCTTGTTATTCGATGTATTTTCGTTTTGAAAAATGGATTTGTGTCAAGACTGCTTGGCACCACGCACACTCTCCACGCTCTAATTGTCCCTATGCGTTTTTTATCACAGCTCCCAAGGAATCATCGTATGCCTAACTACATAAAACGACGTCGCTTTGTTTTCGCGATATGTCGCAACCGTTCAATTCGATTCGCGGCCATTGTTTCACAGTTCCTTTGTTTCGTAACTCCGCTCGCTTGTTTTTTCCTATATATGTGTTTTTTTCTTTCGTTTTAACGATTCAAACGCAGCCTAAACTCCGAAAATAACGATCGTTAACGAGATTTTATTTTTATTTTTGAAATTTCGATTTTCAAGGGGTTTTCTTTTCGCCAAACGTGTTAATTGAAGATATGAAAAACGAGTGAGGTGCTAAAACGGAAATTTTAACCTTGAAGTTAAGTTTCTTTTGTCGTCTGGGTGCAACTGAAATGTTTGGCGTTTTGAGGAGTTTATGTAACATAAAATTGCGCAACGGGTTGTGTTTCGATTGTTTCAGGCCGCCCCGGTCACAGCTGAAGGCGCATTGGAATAGTAATCAGAAAATGCACGTCTCGAGCGCCAGAGGCCGCACACTTTATCAAGCGGAACGGGGTTTTGCAACCGGATCTGGTCGAGTAGATAAATGGGGGAAAAATTTTCCCATTTCCCGATTATCGGTTGAATATGTATAAATCAAACTTTTTTATTTGCTTATTATGATTGATTCATTCACTAAAAATGTTTTGAAGGTCGAAAATGCCTTTAACAAAAAACGATTGCGAACGAGCGATCCGTTGACCCATTGGTACATTTCTTATGCAAATTTGGGGGGGGGCTGACTCACTTGGAGAAGAATTGCCGAAATCCGGTCAGAGTTAAAAAAAGTAATCCAAGAATGATTGTGCATTTTGCCATAACAATTGCAAATAAAGAGGGGGTTCCAAAACACGAAGTAGGACGAGTTCGTTTTTGGCAGGTATAAGAATAAGAAAAAACGAATAAAAGATGGATTTGTTTCGGGCGAAATTGATGATGCCCAACAAAGAACCCTAATGAATTTTTCTTGAAGAGTTCAAAATCGATTTACACACGATCCAATAAAATACGCAAACACCAGATAAGTTGGCGCTGGGTTTGACATTGACATTGGGTTTGTCTTACGAAAACAGCGTTTTTATGGTTCGGTTAGGCGCGATTAGGGCGGATTTTATGGCCCCAGGCGCGACCAGATAAGATTAAGACCAGGGTTTTGCAAGAATTCGCCAAGTTTTCCACTTTCCTTATCTTCCTTCAATTTGACATCGCTCAATCATCAATCATTAAAAAAATTTTAAGAACAAACAAAGAATTTCAATACAACAACAACTCAATCATGAAAACATCACGCGAATGATGAAGGTCGTTTCAACCAGGTAAATTTCGGTTTCAATTTTAGTAAAGTAAAGATGCAAAATTTTTAGTATGAAAACAAACTTGGATCATAAACACGTCCGTCGACGTCTTCGTGATTGAGATAATGCGGGGCCGTTGAACCCGCGAAGTGTGTCGTTGAGATATCGGACGTGAACGGAGCGCCGGCTGCTGCTGCTACTGCTCCTGGTAGAGGAAAGAAAACTTTTAACACAGTGACTGACTTTCTGCGATTTTCCGACGGCGTCGAAGAAGACGTCGGAGGCGGCGGCGCCGCAACTGTACTCGGCCCCACCTCCGTTAGGGGGCGCCGACGTCGACGGCGCATCTCCGTCGCTCGGAGAAGGACGGCGTAACGGGTTTGCGGCGTCAGAAGGGGGGCGGCGGCGGCACGGACCCGCGAGGGGTCGACGACCGATGAAAGTGAAAAGAACGCGGTGCTCGAGACTCTCTTACGAGATAATTTTCGAAAAACCTCGCACACTATATACTCGCACTTCAAATACAACAACAAAAAACAAATCAATTCATTTTTTGACACGACAAAAAATAATCAAGTTTCATTGTTCGCCCGCACAATAGATTTGTAGGCGAATTAGGTCAACCTCAACCTGTAATAACAAATTCTTTCGGGATCTTTAAATTTCCCCCCAAATAAATAGATAATAATAATAACAAAAAATTTCTACCTCTGCGTCTTTATGACGGGTCTTAACATCGCAGGCCTCTTCTCGTCCTTGTTGTTCGGGAGGCGCAAATAGTCCTGGTCCCCCAGCAGGAAAAGATCCTTTGAGATGATCATCGCAACGAGAACAACGACTTAGGGTGGTTTGAAACCCCGCCGATGGAGGAACGCGAGCCGCACGCTACGCGCACTTCCGGCGGCGCGACCGCATCGTATTCAATTCGATTTAATTGCGACGAGGAGCGAATCCTGCGTCGACTTTGTCGTCCCCGGTGTGTGCGCGCCCTCGAATCCGAACGCGATCCGATAAACGCCCGTTTTTCGTTTCTTCGGCACTCGGTGGAGTGGCACGTCCTGCTGCCTGCGCGGCTCTCTCGAGACTGAAAGAGCGCTCGACGCCGTCGTCGCCGCCGCCGCCGCCGATCATCAGCCGCTACTCACTTGTTTTGCGCCGTCGCTATATGTATTCGTCGATACAATTTTTGATTCTTTTTCGTGATTTATTGGTAAATAATATTAAAATTTCTTTGTCTATTTTAAATGATTGATCTAGATTGTTTTGGAAAAAGTTCTAAAATCTCCCCACCAATATCTTTGTTTAAGTATTTTGGTTACACTTAAATGTTGTAGTTTTCGTCATCACATCTTTGTTGTCATACTTCAATAAGTTTTTAGGCTTGTTTGTAGTTCGCTAATTGTAAGTGGTTTAAGGATTTTGCAAATAGCAACGCAACCCTAAACAGAGCAACTTTAAAATGAGCTAACCCACTCATTGTAATGGAATGTTGAAACGTCGCTGATTGAATTGTTTGGAAACTCAACCTAAGTTTAAAGCAATAAGCACAAAACAAATCAATCGAAACTATGGATTGGCTTGACTATNAACAGAGCAACTTTAAAATGAGCTAACCCACTCATTGTAATGGAATGTTGAAACGTCGCTGATTGAATTGTTTAGAAACTCAACCTAAGTTTAAAGCAATAAGCACAAAACAAATCAATCGAAACTATGGATTGGCTTAACTATTCTAAGTAAAAACTAAATGACTAGATAAGATAGAAGACTAGATATTGGAGGTAAAAGACTATGGACAAAAGGGTAGATACTATAGAATCAATGTTATGTAGCTAATTACGCTTTCATACAGCCCGTAGACGTTTGGGGAACGCAACTACCGTAGCGGAAAGATACTCAACGTCGAAATCGTCTCATATCTTCTGAAGGACGCGCTTCAGAATGTCGAGATTCTTGTGGGCTTTGCTCCACATGGAAAAATTGAGGGCCGCCTTAACTTAATGCGCGGATGCTGAGACTTATTGGAATGTATAGGGGAGTCTGTTGTAATGAGACTGGCTCTAACGAAACACTTCCATCATCGGAATCTCATCATGGTAGATCTCGACTGTCTACAAAAATCAGCGGTATGACCCTTTTGGGAAATAAATAAAATTTCTTGTGTTTCTGAAACCGAGTGGCTTGCATCTTGTTAAAGTGAAAGTCTTGTTGTGAAAGTCTTTTGCATTTTGATGCTACCAAGTCCTAAATGATGTTTGTCCTGGCTTATATTTAGCTCTTAGCTCCTTTTCGGAGATTCCTCTTGGAATTTTGGCGAACCTTGTCCCGAACACGCTTGATCATGGTGGGAATCACGGCAGTTTCTCGATAACGACAGATTATGCATTAGAACAAATTTACAACATCGCAGTTAAACTTTTGTTACACCCTGTAGATACTGCTTTCACAAGACTGCTTATTGTTTGCACAAGACTAGATACTGTTGATATAAGATTAGTAAGTGGATTTTTGTACCACTTTACCAACTCAGTGAAACTATACAGGATGTCCAAAAAGTTTTCATAGGCCGATTCTTGGAGGTTTTTGTTTTCTGGTCATAGTGTTTATTAGGCTTAAAGAGCGATTTTATTTTCTCCAATAAGGTTTTAAGCAATTTAATTTCCTTAATGAGATTAAAAGTTTGGCCTTTTCTCATCAGTTTTCACTATTCTCGTCGTAAAGAGCTTAATGATTCGATGAAGGTGTAAACAAGTTAGTTATTAATCGTGGCACAATCTTCAATGATATTAAAAATCTGATTTCAAAATCATTGATTTATTTATTTTCGATAGATTTGTGGAATTCAAGATAAATTTGTCATTCAAGTCTACCCCTTTATTAATCATAACCTATCCCAATTGCAATTCCTTTGAGCCCGGAAAGGATAAGAAAACGATAAGATAAGAAAATTCCGAACGTAAATAAAAATAAGATTAAATCGAAAAAAAAAAGAAAAAATCAAAATAAATAACGCGAAAAAGAGGGACATAGTTTCCAATAGTATATCATCGGGGGGCATTTTTCTGTATATCGTTAACGTAATGCACATCTGGTGTGTGGGGTCCCGTTCGCGCAACTCTCGTGTTTGATTAATTTCGCGGTCGAAATTACCGCAGGGTTCGTCGACCCGCGGGGCCGCGATAAAATACGCGAACTATATATATCGTCTTTTATATATAGAACGGCCCTCCGAGCGTCTCTCGCCTTAGAATATAAAAGTCCGGGGGCCGCCCCCTTCGGTCCCCCGCCCGTAGCCGCTACCGCCGCCTCTTTGTTGTCTCTCTCCCCTTTTTCCGAAACGAAAACGGGATTTAGATAAGTTATCGCGCGAGTTCAGTTTCGTTATCTGCACGTCTGTGAGGATAAACAAAAAAAATGAGTACATAAAAGATTTTTTTTTTATTAAAGACTTTTAAATATCATCGAATGCTTCTAAATCGATCGCTCCGATATCTTCGCTCGTTATTAATTCCATGATGGCTCTAAAAAGTTATTAATTAATTCATTATTAATTAATTGAATTACAGTAAAACCTCGATATACTAACAGACCTTGTTGGAATGAACTTCAGATATAACGGACAAAATATTTTTTTTAGCGGAACTGAGGCAGTGATTTTAAGTTTTCAATAGTAACATATCATTTAGAAACCGAGGCAGCTGTGCTGCCGAGGCAGTAGTCCTAAGTTTTCATTAATAACATATTATTAGATACCGAGGCAGCCGTGCTGCCGAGGTGGTAGTTCTAGGTTTGCAGTAATAACATATTATTTAGAAACCGAGGCAGCTGTGCTGCCGAGGCAGTAGTCTAAGGTTTTCAATAATAACATATCATTAGAAACCGAAGCAGCCGTGCTCCCGAGGCAGTGGTTCTAGTTATCCAATAATAACATATCATTTAGAAACCGAGGCAGCCGTGCTGCCGAGGTAGTGGTTCCAGGTTTTCAATAACATATTATTTATGAACCGAGGCAGTAGCTTTAGTTCTTAAAATAAACTTTTACAAATGCATTACTTAGAAGCCGAGGCAGCCGTTCAAGGTTTTCAACAATCTAGCACTGAATAACAGGTAAAACTAGAACTAACACTAGATCTAGAATGTTTCTAGTTCTAGGTCTAGTGTTACTTCTAGTTTTACACTAGCACTATTACTATGTAGAACTTACAGTAATACCTAGGACTAGAATCGGGTTGCTTTAGTCGCGCGTCTCTAGACCGCTAAACCCGAATGATTCTAGTTCTTGGTATAGTGTTAGTTCTTGTTTTATACTTGCACTGTCACTAGAACTAACATTAGATCTAGAAACATTTGGGTTTAGCCATACGTCTCTTAAGACGGCTAACCCCGAATGTTTCTAGGTCTAGTGTTAGTTCTAGTTTTATTGTTATTGAGTGCTAGATTGTTGTATATTTTTTAATGACTTACAAGTAGAATCAAGATTAGAAGTTAGTTAGTTCTAGTTTTAGCTGTTATTCAGCATTAGATTGTTATAATATATTTCTCATTGAATCCGTATATTCCATATTAATCCGTTATATCGAGGTTTTACCGCAATTTCTTTTTTTCTTACTCAAGCATTTTTATATCGGTATTTTCCTTGTTCCAATCGACGAATCCCGGATTTGATATTTTCCTTTCCAAGAACAAACTCAAACAGTTTCTCAACTCCAAAATAATTTCCATCGTGGTTTCGGAGCATTTAAATTTTAATTTTTCCGCCACAACGATCGTGTTAACCCCGTTTTCTAAGCATTTCGATAATCGATCTCCGAAGAATATGCACGGTAATGGCTGGGCGATCGTTGCGTCATAAATAAAATCGGACGAAGATTTCAATCGGTGATAATAAACGAGGAGAGGCGAATCGAACGAGCGCTCCTTAGAAAGAATCGATTTCGGGTGTAATTCGAGTTTTTGATGGGTGAGGGTATAAAAAATTGATTTGAATTTTTTCTGTTTATGAACGGCGATATTTGGGTATAATCCAGCGCAAATTATCGCTTTAATTAAACTGATATTGTTCGAGTTATAATTTAAAGTAGGATTTTTCGGGTTTTTATCCCCGACGAAATTTAATTCGTACAAATACTCCATGAATTGCAGCTTCATGTTTTGTAGTTGTTTCAAAATGTGGTAACTTAAGAAAAATCTCCAACAAAATCGAGATGGGTTCGATTCGGATTCGAATCTTTTTAGTGTTTCGTGTAAGAGGAGGTGATCGCTTTTTAGGAATCCCCCTAAATCGAATTTTTTCGCGTCGGCTTCTTTCTCTTTCCCCAAAGGTAATTGAAATGGGTCTTTGTAATCCAAAGCTGCCGCGACTGATAAAATCGGATCTAAGCAGCTAAAAATTGATGCTAAAACTAGCATTTTTCCGATTTGGGGGTTAACTGGGAGGGTTGCTAAATGATAACCGAGGGGGGTTAAATTCTCGGATTCGTCTAAGGCGTTTAATCTTTGTAAAAATTCGATTGATGCTTCGATGGCTTTTTCGTCGGGTTGGTCCATTAGTGAGCCTAAAAATGTTTTTGCCCCCCCTAATTGGAGGATTTTGATTTGTAAAATAACCGATTCTAATCGGCGTCTTAAAATTTCGGGGGTTTGATACGAATCGAGCAACATTTCGCGCGCTTTAGAATATAAATGGAAACAAACTCCGGGTTTGACCCTCCCCGCTCTTCCTTTCCTTTGATTCGCGTTAGCCAAAGTGACCCATTCTGGTAATAAAGTTTGCACATTTGTTTCTAAATAAAAGCGGGTTAATTTAATTTTGCCGCAATCTACAACAAAAACGACATCGTCGATTGTGATTGAAGTCTCGGCGATATTCGTGGATAAAATTATTTTTCTCACCCCTTTGGGGGGTGTATCGAATATCGCTTTTTGATCAACTGTCGGCATTTGGGAGTGTAAAGGAATAATGATAAATTTATTGCTGGGGAAGAACCCTGATGAGGTCATCGCCTTATTCAAGCTTGAAATTTCAGTAAAACCCGTTAAAAAAACTAAAATCGCCCCCATCTCATCCACTTCCTTCGCGCAAATCTCTTTTAACAAAGCCAAAATTAACTCGATATTAATTTTTTCGGAATTGCAATTTCTTAACTGCGCGCAAGTTTGTTTTGAGTATTTCCCCTCAAATTCTAATTGTCTTAAATAAGGCTCAATCATCCCTGAGTACTCGGAGTTAAATTTATATTTTTTTGAGTGCCTCTTCCCTGGATGATTTCTTGTCGAGCGATCTTCTTCAAAAACGAATTTAGTTCGCTCAATAACATCTTCTAAGTAGTATTCCTCAACGTGGTAAGTAAACCCAGGGATGCTAATCATTGGGCAATTGTTATAAAATTTCGAGAATTTCTCCGAATCTAACGTAGCGCTCATTAAGATGACTCTGAGATCTTTTCGCTTAATAATAACCTGTTTTAGGAGTGAAATTAAAAAATCTGACATTGTATCTCTTTCATGAATTTCATCTAAGATTAAATGAGATACTCCAGATAATCCAGGATCATTTTCCATTTGTTTTAATAAAACCCCTGTTGTGCAAAATGTAATTGAACAAGTTTCTCTGGGTAACCTTTTCTCTAATCGAATTTGATACCCAACACTTTTTCCTAAATTTTCCGCGCGTTCTTCAGCTACTCGATGCGCGACGGAAATCGCGCTAATCCTTCTTGGTTGTGTACATATTATCTTACAAAGTGATCCTTTTAAGTCTTTTATGTACTCATCTAAAATAAATTGGGAAACCTGGGTGGTTTTACCACAACCTGTCTCGCCACTAATTACACAAACTTGATTTTTTTCGATTATTTTAACGATTTCGTCTTTCATCTCATAAGCTGGGAGTCTTTCTCGTTTCTTTAACACAGCTTGATACTTAGAATTCGTTTCTTTACTCATAAATTCTTCGTAAAAGTTTTTATTGAGGTTATTATTCGATTTTAAACTCAAATGAGTAATGCTTAACTTATCAAGTATAGATCCGGAGATGTTTTTAATGTATTTATCTTGAAAGATGTTGTTTTTTAAATCTTCTTTTGCATCATTCGATGAGTTGTATGTTTTTAATAACAACGATATTTGTCGTTTTCGATCTTCTGATAACAAAATTGTACCAACCTGAATTTACAACAATATAGTTGTTTAAATCATATAATTATTATTTCTTTATTTACTTACAACGGATTTTTCGTTTCTTCTTTTGTTAGCGTAAAACAACCCAATTTCTTTTCCTTTCAAGTGTCCGGGATGTCTTCCGCTGCCACGGTTAAATTTCGAAGGTCTCCGCCGAGACGAATCACTCATTTTATTAGAAACGTTATGTGACAAACTAATATATCTAAAATTTTTGCTACCAAATTTGAACGAAACGGTTAGAATTGACATGAATCATTTTTAGGTTAGATTTTTTAATGTTTTGTGTTGTGATAGTATTGCCATCTTTTAGAATTTACTGTAAGTTCTATAGTAACTAAGTTTTGTTATTTGTTTCATAGATGGCGCTGTATACAGAAACTCGAAATTATCTATAAATCAAGTGTAATAATAACAGATTTTGATGATTTCTGACCGTAGTACCTACAGATATGATGTAAAAGAACGATTTTCAAAATTTTCAAAAATATGTCTATTACTACTTAACTAAGAGACATAGATTTTTTTCTTATTTTTACCAAAACAGGTATGGGTTGGCCTCTTACCCGGTGCCCGTTTGGCGTTGAGTTTCGGGACACTCTGTATATAACCCCATGTCTTTTGCAGTGCTTCTATGACATCTCTTTCTGTTTTGTCCATAATGTTCAGATCATCTGCGTCTGCTAGGTTAAAAATTATTAAAAATTGTGTTAGAGACACAAGATACATAAGACTGTGCCGTGATGTATGTCAAATTCTCAAAACATATCTTGATTATTTTCACTCTACATACTACGCGACCTCGGCTTTATTCTCTAAATCGGTAAAGATAGTGTATTTAATGATAGAGTGCAATCAAGCTAGGGCCTCGGCCGCAAGCGACCTCGGCTTTATTTATTCTTTACGCTGATTAAGATGGTGTACTTAAAGATAGAGTGCACTCAAACTAGGCCTCGGCCGCAAACAACCTCGGCTTTATTCTCTAAACCGTTACAGATAGTGTATACAAAGATAGAGTGCAATCAAGCTAACGCCTCGGCCGCAAGCGACCTCGGCTTTATTTTCTAAACCAATAGAGATGATGTATTGAAACACTTGAAAATAGAGTGCTATAAATCTAGCGCCTCGGCCGCAAGCGACCTCGGCTTATTAAAAAGACATCGTAGTTTCTGTGGAAATTGAGCCGAGACAGTTAACAGCAAATGTTAATACATANGGCTGTTTTGACAGTAACGGAATGCGTCTTTCCCCCTCGGCAGATTAATAAAGGGTGCATCGGACCTTCGTCAAGAGATTACGAGAGAGGGGTGACACCCTCCAGGAAGTCACTCCTACTCATCCACCGTTGCACATTTGCATTAAAAGACAAAAAAGTAAAGGGAGGGTGAATTCTACGTCAGAAGTTAAAAACAATATAATATAGTACTATTAAAAAGAATGATATAGATCAAAAATACAGGAAAACCTTGATATTAAGGATTAATACAACAATCTAGCGCTAAATAACGATTAAAACCAGAACTAACACTATATTTCATACATAATTGGCAGCCTGTATTTATCATTGAACTAAAACTAGAACTAACACAAGACCTAGAACTAGAATCATTCGGGTTTAGTCGTCTTTAGAGACGTGCGGTTAAAACCCGAATCTTTCTAGTTTTAGGTCTAATTACTGTCTTAACTGTGTTAGTTCTAGTGCTGGTGGTAGGTAGCGCTAGTTAGCATAAGATATCACTATGTTGCATATTTTTATTGCACTAAAAGTAGAACTAACACTAGCCCTAGAAATATTCTTGTTTAGCCGTCTTAAGAGACGCATGTCTAAACCTGAATGTTTCTAATTCTGGGTCTAGTGTTGTTTCTAGTGATAGTGCTAGTTTTAAATCACTACGTATAACTTAAAATTATTTTGTCCGTTGTATCGAGGTTTTACGGTATTAAAAAGATTAATGGAGTGGTTCTTATCTCTTCAAAAACATTTTTATGGCATCGAGTGATTCAATCTAAAGCTTTCCAGATTGGGGTGAAAGCTAAATTTCCCGTGGAAGCGATGCTTGAAGGACCTTATCGCCTCGTTCCAATTATCGGAGGAAAGAGAAAATGGCTTAGAAACTTAATCACTAATAATAACAACTTAATCGACACCACAGCATCGTATTAAAAAAAAAATCCCCATTAAAACTTAACTAACATTCTAGTGTAACGATGTAATTGAAGGTACATTACCGTTTAGGTTAATGCTTGTACAATTAGTGAAACCATCAGGGACACGTGTCGCTAACCATTTCAACCTAACCCATCTCATCCCCTCTAACATAAAATGAAATAATTTACAAATTTTTCTTTTAATGAATTTTTTGATTAATTAATTAAACTCGAATGTTCCTCGAGTCGATCTGTAATACATAGAGAGAGATCCCAACCCCATAACTAGAACAATGGATCCGAATTTCCCTTCGACTTCACCTCTATGAACGCCAGTAAAGATTAGGATTGCGGAAACGTCGACCCAGGACCGGATCGAGTACCGATTCGCACGATTCAAATCAACCCCATCATGAATACCGAGATTATTATTTATTACCATTTGGCGGTTCTGTTTCATTCCCGTGGACCTCATTTCGGTCCATTTTAGGGTTTCGATATGGATTTTCTCCATTCCGCGATTAAAATCGATCGATTAGACGTACAAAGGGTCGAATTTTAGTGTTAATGGGACGCGAAGAGATGTTATTAAGCCATTTACGGGTGTCGTATTAATAAATGTGTATTGGGAGGTGCAAGGTTTTCCTTTAACTAGAAACACGACCGGTATAAAGCTGTAGACTGTAAAGTTGGACGATAAAAGGGCGAATTGCTGGTTATCGATTCGATCGGATCGACGATAACCCATTAAGGGTCAGGAAAATTGGCGATTAAAACTTTCTCGCCTCAAACTCTCTCTTCGATGGGTTTTCGATAATTAAATTTCTAGAAATTCTATGTATATCAAATACTGCTAATATTTTTATAAAGTTTATTTTTTTTAATTAAGTTTATTGCAATTTCCTATTTTATATTACACAACCACACAGTTAACTTCCTCCATTATCCCTACTATCACTTGTAATGAATTAATGGAGGACGATGTACTGCTTTGAACCCTTTTTCCCCACAATATCACCCTCACTCCTCATATACAATTCCTGAGTCAAGACCAGATACACACAAATCTCTTTTGCCATACGCCTTACATTCAACATAGCAGTTTTTCGTCTTTCCATACTACAGTGTATTCTATTTAATTTTTACCATGTTTTAATACAAATTAAAATTGATTGATTGAATTTGGTAGATGGGCATGAACCAATTCTCGTTGTATTTCCATTTTTATTTCGTTTCTTGCTACTGCGGTTGTTTTTCCGTTTTGGTTATCTTTCCTATGACATCTGTATATGTGATATCCTGCTATACCTCTCGATTATGCATCTCAGCAATTAATGTATCAGTAGTAAAAATAGTAGATAAATAAAAACGAGATGTGTGTGGTATAATATAATATTCAACCACATTTCTTCGTTTCGGTTTTTGGGAAAACGACGGTCAAGAGACTTTTATAGCAAGGGCGACTTCCCCAAGTCCCTCTAGGGAGCCACTATTAGTTCCGACAATGGACAATCAATGACCCTCTCCATCAATCACCGCCTCTACGGTAGTCTAAAAGCCCACGACAAGAAACCCAATGAAAATCGCATGATTCCGAATACTTTTTTTCTGCACCAGCCATCCCCTTCTTTTTTCGAAACGAAATCATGATCAATTTTGTTCTGGATTAATTTAAACGACCACCTCAAGCGTGAGCCATAGAAAAAAGGGCACAATAAAAAATAGGGAACTCCCTTCGTAGAAATAAAAGGGAACGATTTTAACGCCCTCATCCCCTAACGTTAAAACGGACGGAACTAGTCGTAAATTTCGGGTAGCTTTTAATTTTATAATTGCCCGTGGAAGTATTTGCATATTTCCTCGGGGGAGAGGTGCGGGGAACGAATTAGAGGCGGTGAAAAATTTTAAACTAAAGCGATTTATTAAGGTATAAAAGAAAAGGCGATTATCCCGGCCGGGTTGACGCGATGTATACAAGGACACTTTCTCTTCCTGATGCTGCTTCGTTGGATTCCTGGCTTCTACGCCTGCTCCGAAATGTTCCCGTACACGTTCTCGATGCACTCGGCGCCGCGACGCCCGACAGAAACGACGCTCGCGTCTAGATTTCCGATAAAAACGCGATTCGCGAACTTTTTATTTTTTATAAAATTATTTTTTGATATCATTTTTATTTAATTATTTTTTTGTGCGAAAAAAGTGGGTTTTTAAAAAATTTTCATATCATAATCGCATCATATCTTTCATAAAAATTTCATATTAATCATATCTATATTAATATCATTTTTTTAAGAATATAAATATAAAAGTGATTAAGTGAGAATAACTTTGATTAATTAAAGAATTAATTAATAATGTCTGAAAGTGCTTATAACTCGCCGCTACCTCTCAGGAGATTCACTGAATCTTGTTGTTCGAGTCCTGCGAGAAGTATTGGGAGTCATCATACCGAAACTTTAACGGATTCTGATGGCGAAAATGAGTTTGTTACGGAAACTCCGGGAATCCCGGATCAAACCGTTATTTCTGGGTGGCTCAAGTTCAGGGATAATAAAAAGGTAATTTTTTTTTGGGGGATTTTTTAATGTTTTATAACAGAAAATCTGTGTTTAGAACATCGCATGTCTTGGGGCAATACGCTGCGTTTGCATGTTGAGTTATCGGTACATAAAATCACCAGCGAGAACGTTCAACTGTACTCGTACCATTAAGGAAGTTGTCAATTAGCATTCACTATATAAAACAAGGAAACTAAACGAAACGTATCGAAATTTTAGATTTAAAAAAGTAAATAAATTAGAAAGATTCGTCTTCATATATCTCTTGGTACGATTCTCGGGGTTTATTAACAGGCCGAAGACGGAATGAGGCACGTGCAGGACCAATTACTTCAACAGCCCTTCGCGTTTCCCATAACCCAACCCAGTTGAACTCGTCTCAACCCGGACACGTAGCGGTCCTTATTCCTAGTTAAGGCTAAAGCTCTCTCTCGCGGATTTTTGAAGGTGGTGAAAATCCCGAAAAATAAATTGGAGCTGATACTCGCCTTTTACGATTAGCCAACTCTCAAAGGAAACATCCCGAAAAGCCGTTTGACCCGGTCGTTCTCTATCGGTTTACGCAAAAGCTTCGATGGAACGGATGGGATGGCGAGGAGGGAG